TTGAAAATACAGAAAGGGCTCTAAATGTGCTGAAGACCTTTCAAAGGTATTTCATTGGTAACTAATTAGCGTCATTCTGAAATATTTACCGCAATGTCCCTAATCTTGCCAATGCTGCTTCATGTGACATACTGCTTCATTTAATCTCTGAACTTTTAAACTATTCTGCAATCAAAATAAAAAAAAAAACTCAGAGTAGCTATTTCATTGAAATAAACACCGGGGTAAACAATAACTGTCATGGTCCAGAGTCTCTTTATGTTTTGTGTTTATTAATTTTTTAGAGTTTTCTGTTTTTTGTTATTTTTCTTCCAGTGTTTAGGTGTTCTCTGCGCTCCCCTTGTGTTCATGTCATTTTACTTTGGCGGTCCCTTGTCTCATTTCTGTGTCTCTAGCCTTGTCGCCCCTTAGTCTCGTCAAGTGTGATCAGTCCCAGCTGTGCTCTCCTCCTGTGTCCCATTCCCTCGTTATCCCTCAGTGTATTTTAGCCCTGTGTTTCTCTCTGTCAGCGTTCTGTCCACCCGTCATGTTGTGTGGGTTTCTCTTGTTGTGTTCCCTGAAATTGCCGTTCCTAGTGTTTTGTTATTAGTCTCCCGTTTCTACGTTCTGCTTTGGTTTTTTAAGTGTCTTTTGTGGAAGTTGTGCCACTGCAATAAAGCTTTAGTTCATTCCCTTGTTTTGAGTTCTGCATTTGGGTCCTTCCTCCTGCCTGCCACAGCTGTTTCATGACAATAACAAGTGTGCTTTAATGTACAGGTAGGTTTGCTAGTTACAGGGTCCTTCTTTGCACATTTTAGCTCAAAACATTTACCAGCACATCCAAACAAAATAGAGTCCTTGTCATTACTGGTGCTGGTACTGCTATGTGTTTATTGCTGTATTTAAATATTTTTATTGCTGCTGGGTTTGAGTTCTGCTGAACCACTTGTATCTTTGGTTTTCCCAAAAACAGACTGGGCATCCCAGATCTTGGGATTGATGAGAAGTATCAGCAAATTTTACAAAATTATGGCCGGGACATTGAAATGGTTTTCCGCATCTACATGAAGCAGAAACTTGACCCCCCCATTGGCAGGGACTTGCCCCCAGTGGCCGGTCGGATCATGTGGGCTCGGCAGCTGTACAGCCGTATACAGGGACCCATGGATCTCTTTCAGCAGGTAATATTGCACGCCTGACTTTCAGTTCAGGTTTGGCTGGTTCTAGCAGATTAATGATAAAATTATTTGGCATTTCCCATCCATGTAATGCATCATGTTTGTTTGTTTCGTTTATTACTCTAATTAGCATCCAGGAGTTCTTTCCACATCAGAGGCAAAAAGGATCATCAAGAACTTTAACCGTGTAGCAAGAGCGTTGTTGGAGTTTGAGATGACCTACCATCACAGCTGGATGAAAAAGGTTAACAAACTGTAAAATTCATAATACAAACAAGAAATCTGACAGAGGAGCATTTATATACAATATGTATTGTTAATTCCTTTATATAGTGTTGTGATTGCATTTGCTGCATATATGTTAACACTTACATGTTTGAGATCATCAAACACATTTTAATACTAGGCAAAGTTGATCAATTTAAAAAGGAGAAAGCTATCTAATTATATCTGGCACTGTGTAAACAAGTAATTTGGTGAAAATGATGGATGACTAAAAAGGACACCAAGGCTCCTCTCAAATCTGCCAAAAAACATCTTAATGCTCCCCAATATATTTTGTGGACTGATGAGAGTAACATCCAGCACAAAACTAATGCAGCATTTCATAAAAGCAATATCACACCAGCTCCTGAAAGACAATGTCTGGCCATCAGTTTGTGCCTTGAAGTGGCACAAACTGAAGTGTAATCGGGTTATGTAGCACGACAACAGATATGAAAAACACCAGGAAGTCCACCTATGAAGGTCGAAATGTCTCAGGAGCTGCAGATGAAAACTAGCTAGCAGCTAAATCTGGTACAATGCATCCTTTCTCTACAGAGGTTCTGTTTTTGCTTGGTCACTGACAAATAAAGTGGAAATGACAAATAAATAAACAAAATGAAGGGTTTGGAGTGGCCTGGTCAAAGTCTGGAGTTAAATCAGATTGAGGTGCTTTGCCATGACTTGTCCTTGAAAACCTTCTAGTGTGGCTGAATTAAAACAATTCTGCAAACAAGATAGAGGCAAAATTCTTCTACAGCGAGATAAAAGAATCATTGCAGTTCTTGCTGGAAAAAACTACATTTTGTCCATACTTGGGTTATCTTTGTCTAATATTAAAATTAGTTTGAGGATCTGAAACACAAACTAAATGAACATCTTTTCTCCCCTCTTATTCACACATTTTTCCCCCTGCATCTCTCCACATAAACCTCACTAAACACTTTATACCTCAACGCAGATGGAGGATGCCAAAGTTGGCCTGCAAGCCTCTCTTCTGGTCCGATCTCCAGAAACTGGCGAGTTATTTGTGAACTTTGACCCAGAGATTCTGACGCAGATCAGAGAGGTGAACTGCATGACAAAGATGAATTTGGCGATCCCTCCCTTCGCTTTTCTACTGCTGCAAAAACAGGACGTCTTTAAGAAACACTACAATAGAATACAGGTGAGCATAGCACACAGTTGTAGCTAAAATTTCAAAAATGCATACAGCGAACAACCAAATGATCAAAGCTGCATGGATCTAGGAGTATAAAACATCCTGGAATTGTGTTCGAATTCCACACGGATTTTTAAAAATGACTAAAAACTAAAATTTTATTGTCAACTGAAAAATTCAGTTCATCCCTTTTGTGTGATTACAAAAATGCACCAACATGCATCTATCTCATTTCAGCTGATGTTGAGCGAGAACACTAGAGTGCGTGCCAAGATTCAGAGTGTCTTTGAACAGCTGGCCATGCCACATGTAGCTAAGGTAAGTGGACCGACCCTCGGCTACCAAAACTAGCAATTGGGACGTGGAATGTCACCTCTCTCATGGAGAAGGAGCCTGAGTTAGTGTGTGAGTGTTGAGAGGTAGCGGCTAGATATAGTGGATGTGAATGGCTTTGGCTCTGGAACTAGTCTCCTGGAGACTCGCCCTTGGTGCGAGGTGGCGGGCTGGGATTGGGAATCCTAGTGTGATTGAGCAGTAAAGAACAGTCAGGCACAGGTTAAAGTCCAAAGAAGTGTTTTTTATTTAACCCAAAAAAATGAACTTGGGTAAATAATACAAAAATCAACATCTTGGGCAAGAGATCAAAGCAACTGAGCTTGACTCAAAGTTGGTTTTCGTCCCTACCCTCACCTATGGTCATGAGCTTTGGGTAGTGGAGGAGGTGACTGGGGAGAGGGAGGTCTCAGCTTCTCTACTTAGGCTGCTGCCCCAAGACCCAGCCCCGGATAAGCGTAAGAAAATGGATGGATGTGTCTGTGAAGGTTCTCAGTCATCGAAGTCTAAGGATGGATGGTTTCCCTCTGTTCTTTATCATGTCGATGTCAAATCCTTCATGTTGTGTGCGCTCCAGTTAGCTAAATTATGTTTGCCAGTGCTAGCTAATAAAGCTTTGTTTTGATTTTATATTTCTCTGCAAAGTCCTGCATTTCAGTCCAACCCAGCATCCCATGAGAGTAGTGATATGATTTTAAATTGCTGTCCCCAAAAGAGCGTCATGTGATTGCATAAAAGTTCAAAATAGGACATTTAAGAAAAGCATATCCCTGGTAACCCATTTTATTTGATTTCATTTGATTTTATCTTTTTATTTTCAGTTGTCTCTAGCAAGTCAGAAGAACACAAAAAAAAATGTTAAATCCTTTTTTATTGATGCTTGGTTTCGTCATGAATCTTTTATAAGCGTTGACAGGTGACAGGTATGAGACTGACTGTCACAGCACGTTGCTTACAAAGTGCATCACCATCATCATACCATACATGACTTACTTGACAGGTGGATGAGGCTATACAACCGGGTTTGACCTCCCTCAACTGGACATCTCTGAACATTGACAAGTATCTCGACCGCATCGACAAAGCGTTGGGTAAGCAAAAAATGTAACGAGATCGATCCTGTACACGCTGACACGAGACATTCCTGCAACTCAGCACTGGCTGCGTGTGATAACATTTACATTAATGGATTTATTGCATAGGTGGCTTTCTCACAAGTAACACTCATATATTCAATAGATTCTTTCTCTCTCTACACATTGCTTTTTTATACTAAATTGTCTGTTTATCACTGTTCTCTCCTTTGTTCAAATGCATAACAATTCCCCCTTGATTTTTCCCTCTTTCCCTTATTTTAGGTGGGTTTGTGTCCCTCCCTTTCTTATTTGTGTTTTTTTTTTGTCTGTTTAGCTGATCTTGAGTTGCTGATGGACAGAGTGAATGACCTGGTGGAGTTTAGAATAGAAGCAGTACTGCAGGAGATGAGCATATCCAACCTGTGTGTGCTGCCAGAGGATGAGCCTGTGACCTGTGAGGAGTTTGTTCAAACCACCAGGGTAAATAAAGACAAATAAAATAAAAGTATCAGCTGGGTTATATATATCTGAAAGATGCTATCGATATTTATTAAGTGGGGCTTTGGTAATTCTCACACATTTAAAATACTTTTTTCTGTATTTAAACATTATTTCTTATTCTAAAGATGAATTACATTGAACTGAACTGTATATCTGCATGTGTCTAGGACCTTTGCATAAGACAAGCCCAGAAAGTGAACACGAAGAGCTCACTGGTGGAGGAGGCAGCTAATGAACTGATCAACATGCTGCTAGAGTTCGACCACAATCAGAGAGAGGAGGTGGAGAAGTTTGAGGAAGAAAGCTGCACAGAGAGCAAGACCATAGACCACAATGACAGTGAAGGTATGCTGACAGTTTCCTTTCACGATCAAACACAATACAGTGTGAAAAAGGCAGTTCAAAAGTTTTTAAAGGAAAGGGGATTACCTTTTTTAGGACTTTGTGTTTTTACTTGTATTATAATGCTGATTTATTCAAGGCGAAGTGTTGCTGAAGGTGTTCGTATTGACTGTAAACGTGTCACCTTCTTAGGTGATGACGAGCGTCTCTTCTCCAGAAACACGCTGCTACGTTCTGCTAGTGTTGGTCCTTCTTCTCCGTTGGTGAGGAGGAAGAAGAAGAGGGACTTGATGGAAGTGATGGAACAGGAAGCCCAGGAGCTGCTGTCCTACTTCAACCACCGTAATGTGGATGCCTTGCTCAAAGTGACACGCAACACCCTTGAGATGTTGCGCAAGCGCATACATACGTCCTCGCTCATACATTTCTCCGGTGCGTCTTGTTTAATTGTTTGCTATATTTCTGTAAAGGCCTAAAATATTTAAAATAAGCTCATAAAATGTCTATTCCAATAGTTTATGTGTGTTACCCTTCTCTCCCTCTGTAGCTGCAAGTGACCCAACCAGCTATGGCAAAAGCAGCGATCACCATGCAATCTTCAGAGTAAACATGACCCTTTCCATCCCTAACATTGTCATGGTTCCAGCTTTGGAGGAGGTTCAACAGGCTCTAAACCGCGCTGTAGAGTGTGTAGTCAGTGTCAGCAAAGGAGTCAGCCAGTGGAGCAAAGAAAGGATATCTAAGGTGAATAAAGGAAAAATCTATTTGTGACAGTATTTAGCTTGATAACTGTAATAAACTGTTAGAACTGCTCTTTTTGAGATAATGGTGTCATGGTCCAGCAGTGTACTAAATAAACCCGGAGGTTTTACATTCCCCTTTCCAGAGACAAATGAACGAAAAGCGAATGGCAGCACTGAAACAAGACAGCTCTGAGAGCGAAACAGAGGATGGAGCAACAACATA